TTGCATTTTTCTAATTTGCTGATGAAGAAGTTGGGGTTCAAACTGTTGAGTGTCTTGCCATGTCACATACTTAATGAGTGGCAGATCTGGGGTTTGTAGTTTGGCTGAGGTTCCTGCTCTCTTAGTTGCTATAATGACATCCGCTATACAGTACTTACATTATTGTCATCAAAGAACCAGGTAAGATCCCAGGATTCTAATAGGGAGCTATCGTGCATGCTGTGACTGGAAAGTGTCAGAAAGATCTCTCTCTGCATACTGTCATTGAATTAGCTGGGTCAGCCAGCTGAGTGCAGCTAGCATGACATCTGGTAATGCTACTGGGGCCAACTCGAGCCCTATAGGTAGAGCTAATTTTTGCCCTCCCCCTTGCAAATCCTAAGGCTTGGTATTCTGTTTTCACTGGTGGAGAGTGATGGGAAGAGACATGCCTGTTGCCTGATTTTCTGTTTAAAGTTATGTTACTGTTGGACACATTTCAGGTCTGAGCTTCGGTTGTTACTTTCTGATATGATGAGCCTTCTTGGCCATTCTTCCCTCCCCCCCCCCGTCAGTCTTCATTAGAATTATTTAAACACTGTTTATTCTCTATTCTGGGCCTTTTCCTGCTTTGCTGCAAAAGTGCAGCTTGAAGCCTTTACCGTGCACAACACAGTTGCCAGTTCCTAGTTCCTAGGTAAGAGGTTGTTTCCAGAAAACCAGGGGTGGGGGTGGGAGTTGGGGAGTGACACACGATCACACACACACACACACACACACACACACACACACACACACAGGGCCATGGACAACCATACATCATGACTCAGATAATTAGGATTGTGATGTTAGTAAAATGTCCCACTGTGGTGACAGTGATACTGGTGAGGAATCAGTTTAAGGGAGGAAAGTTTATTTTGGCTAAGGGTTTCAGTCAGAGGTCGGCTAGCTCCATTGCTTTGGACCCAAGGCAAAAAAGAATATCATGGTTGTAGGAGCACATGGCAGAGGAGGCTGCTTACCTCCTATCAACTAGAAAGCTGAAAGAAGGGGCTAAGGACAAGACAAAAGTCCCTAAGAACATGCTTCAAGGACCCATTCCATTTAACACCACCCCTCCACACACACAAATAAATTAATAATAATTTTAAAAAGTTTTAAAAAGAGAACCAAACAGAACTGGGAGCCTGTGGTACAGGGTATGTTGGCTGCCCCTTCTGTGTGCGTGTTTGCACATGATCTTTGTCCAATGTCCTGCTGTCCCTTCTTCTTGATTTACTCTGAGTGCCCGAATTCCCTGAGTTAAAAGCATCAGTTGCTAAAATCTTTTTCAAACTTTTCTGGGATGTTATTTCCCTGCATTAGTGAGAGTCAACATTAGGATGTGTGGTTGTTTAACCCTTCAAGTAAGACTCCTCAGCTGTTTGGGTCCTTCATCTTGGCTGCATATTTGGATCCCCCAGGAAACTTTTTTCCAAATACTGCTTGGCCACCAGCTCCAGAGACACCGATTTACCTGGTCTAGGTCATGGCTCCCAGTTGATATTGTTTTGGCAGGCTGCAGATTTGAGTGAATGGATGAATAAGTGAACCAATTAGCAAATGAACAGGAAGGCCCTTTCACTTCAGCCCAGCACAAATGCATCCAATCTGCTGTTTTTCTTTAATTCCGCGGTGGGCTGGAGTAGGCGCCCAGGAGGAAAAGCTGTACTTCTAATTCTTACGTGTGGTAAAGGTTGATGTTGGTGCAGTAATGACACACGGCATGCAGAGGGACACATTGGGTGGGTAGAATGCCAGAGAGCTCTGAGTTAATCTAAAAATCAGGAAATACATTGACAAGTAGAGATAGATATGGGGGAGGGGTAAATATAGGTTCCCTTTCAAAGTTCCTAAAACAGCCCATGACTGCTCAAACTAGTCTCATTAGGAAATGGAGCTGCTGTTCAGCTCTCTGCATGACATGTGTTGTATGTGGAAACTTCTTGAGCTGTCTCTCTGCACCTTAGTCTCTTTATTGCATCTTCTGCTTTCTGCTGCTAGCCTGTCCAGGACTACCCCTCGCCCCTGGTATTGCAGTGCTTGCCTGATGGCTTCAGGAACTCTTCACACAGCAGCAGGGTAATGTTTTTAACTGCAGGTCTGGTCGGACTCTCCCTCATAGACTTACCACTGGGTTCCACATCTGCTTCATCCCCAGTCCCCTGTGCTGTCTTCCCCCCTTCACTCTGGAGAGTCTGCCCTGCAGTCCTTTCCCAGTCCGTGGGAGCACAGGTCTTTGTGTACCTTTCCTCTTCCTGAGATGTCGTCTCCCACCAAGCCAAACTGTCATTTTTCAGGTGTGACTCCCTTGACCTCCTGACTAGATCAAATTGCCAGACTCCGATTCTACCGTCATCCTCAGGAAGCCAGCCTTGGCAGCTCACGGATTATCTGGAGGCCTTGGGTATCTTTGGCAGACAGGCCTTAGGAGCATTTCCTTGTTCCATGAAGATCTAGTGCCTCCAGAGGCATGGGAATAGCAGATGTGATTTTGGGCAAATGATTTGTGCATCTCATTAGCTGCTCCTTGACAGAGAATTGTTTTTTTTTTTTTATCTGTACCAACTACAACTCGAAATGCCATTCGATTACCTTGCACAGATTCCTACCATTTGTTAGAATTGGGCCAATTCCATAATGTTCATTGGCTACTGTTACTTCAGTAGGACAGCAGCCATCAGATTTTCACTGTGCGTACTGTTCACCTGTTCCACAAAGACCAGGCAGTGAAGCCACCATCCAGACTTCATTGTAGAGCAACATGTCTTCAGTGTTCAGCCTTCCAGGGAAACCTTGCAGTGAAGCTGTTGTCTGGGCTTCAGTGTGCTTGAGAGATGAGCACTGGAGATACATCAGCCATGCCCTCCTGTGTTCCTTCCTCAGTTCAGCATCTTCCAAATGCCACTTGTCCCCGGCATTCAGAAAGGCCAGGATTCTTGGGGGTGTTACATTTTCCTTTTCCGTGCCAGATATCAGCCACTCCAGGAACTCTGGCCCTAGGTTTCCTGTCAGAAAGGTCTATAGCCTACCTCTGTAACCCAGCTCTCAGTCTGCCTGGGTTGGTGGTCACCTGACAAGGTCAAGGACCAGGATGCCTTAGTGTGTAGAGCCATATGGTCTGTGGACACTGGTTTCAGGAGCATTCTTTAGAAGCTGTTTTTATTACTCTTCTGTGGGTGCCCAGCCTTGTCCTCTTGCTTGGAAAGACTGGGATGTACTTTTGGCACTGGGAAGGGCCCTTGGCACAAGTACAAGAATCTTCATGCTGACTGAGTTGGAATTCTCTCAGTGAGAAGTGACTTGTTGTCCTGATTAGAATATAAACACTTGCCAACCTTGAGTTTTTGTCTCTCACATGAGTTTTATTATAATCTCCTGTGTTTATAAACATGTCTTTGCATAAGGGAGAAATGTGGGAACCTTTTGAGCCTACAAGAGTATCTTTTTTTTTTCTGTGTGAGCTTAAGTTAGCTTGTCCTTCTGGCTTTCCCCAGAAACCCTAGAATAGCACCCAGGTTCCCATCTCCGTGTTGTTCCGTTCTCTTCTAGAAGTCAGTAAAGGGTTACGTTAAATTGTAGTTCAAGTTTATCTGGTATCTACTAGAGGGACACAACGTCCAAATATGACCCCAGTTCAAACCAATCGACAACCATTACTTTTTTTTTAAGTTTAATATGCCAAGCTTTAGAGAAAGCTCATTGTTTGTGTGTATGCTAAGCAAAGAAAGACATGATGTGTGGGGTGCCAACATATGATCCAACAGAGAAGTTGGAGAACAGACAGAAAAACTTGAAGACTTCATAGAAGAGGCTCTGCCATTGGGTTGTGCCTTGGTGAATCCAAAGGAAAGATTTGGTGAATTCTGGAGGAGAGATGGGGCTATTTTGGATAAAGCAAAGGGAGTAGGAGGGCATGCAAGCAAAGAATGTGTATCTGGTACTTAGCTGTAGCAGAGAGGGAAAGGGGGAAGCAGACAGACACCTAAAACAAGAGACCCAGCCTTGAATGGCATGCTTAGATGATTGGCCTTTGTTTTGGGGACAGTGGTGGGAGTTGGAGTCAAAATGATAACCGTAACAGCACAGTGGATAAGCTTCAGAGAAGAGAGACTGGCCATGAAGACCTATTGCAAGAAATTTCCATGACACATAACAAAGGCAGCAGTGGAAGGAATATAACATGGGGAGAAATTAGTTTTGTATTTTATAGGTAAGAGAAACTTCACCATCAGTTGTCTAATAACCTTGAGAGACGAGGAAGGTGACAGTGTAGAGAGTGGATGGATGGATGGATAGATGGATAGATGGATGGATGGATGGATGGATGGATGGATGGATGGATGGATAGATGGATGGATGGATAGTTATTCCATGTGCCACACTGGAGAACACACGACTAGCCAGCAGAGTGTCAACAAAGAACTGAAGATCCTGGTCCAGAACCCACTGAGACCATCAGAGTCTAGTGTACACTTGGGTATTTGGCCAGTGTCTCCAGTAGGCATGAATCATTGCCTACTGTGTACCAGGCATGTTCTTTTGTGTTAACTCAAGTGTGAAAACACCAAACACATGGCAGTCTTCTACACTGAGATAGAAGCTACAATAAAGGAAGTGAGAAAGAGAAGGGAAGTAAAAAAAAAAAAAAAAAACAAGACAAAACAAAAAGCAAAAAACGAACCAAACGCTCAATGAAGTGAAGTATGGGATATATCTAGCATAAACAGCTGGTGGAATGGTCTGACAGTAGTGGTAGATGTGAGCAGAGGAGTCGGGGTTAACGTTGTCAATCTCCTGAGAGAAGCGAGAATGAGCCCACTGTCATGGTCAGCGTGGGAAGAGTGCTAGGCTTGTCAGAAGATAAGATGGGGAGATGGGGAACCTCAGCAGGATTCTGTGACCTGCTTGGGGTGAGGGGGTGGCGTGGGGGCCGGGGTGGGGGGTTCTCAGAGCAGTTCTCTTGCCAGTGATGTTTATAGGTCACCCTGAGGTGCCTGCCAAGAAGCCCATTTATCCCTGGTTTGTTCCTGCAGAAAGAAACCTGGGGACATGCAGTCGCCCACACCTGAGGAAAATAGAGGCTGACCTAAAAGCCCTAAACATTTTAATTTGCAAAACCATTGTTGTATTAAATCACAAATGGGAGGCAATTTAGCAATGCATCTCCAAAATTGCACCAGGCTCTGGCTGTGACTTTGCAATTTATGTTGAAAATGAACATTGAACTCTGTGGCATAAAAAACAGATTGTTGATTTTGTGATTAATTTGGTCTCTAAGGCCAAGGAAACTGTTGATGCTGTATATCAGTTATAAAGTTGTGGTAGAATTTGTGGAGCAAAATGAAAAATCAATATCGTAACTACAGGATAGCTCTCTTAAAATCCAAGGTGCGTTTTGTTGCAAATTGCATGGAAGAAACTGACCCCCAAAGGGACAAACCTACCTTCATTTTTTTTCACAAGTGTATATCTAGGGTATAGAGGTAGAGGGAAATGTTGGGTGTTATTACAGTGTTGCTGGGGGTACTAGGGGAAAGATCAAATTGTTGCAATTTAGAGTAAAACCTCACTTACAGTTATGTGTGTCCCGAGGCAACCTCAAGGAGTGATCTCTCTCAGATGGCTGTGCACTCAAAAGCCAGGATGCCTGGGTCACGCTCCTGCCTCCGCTAATCTGCAGACTGGTGGCGTATTCATCACTTCCTCTTCCCGGTGGGTGTGGTGGTCTTGGTTTAATACTTACAGGTGCCTCAGTGAGAAGAGAGCATCTTCCTTCAGCATGCTATAGCTAAGACATCGAAGGCATTTGTTCTCCAGTCTTAGAAGCAAGAATGCACTTTTTTTTGTTAACCTGCGCATTTAGAAGCCAGTGCAAGGCATTCCTTTCTTATCTAACCTTTTGTTTTAGCAAAAGAGAATGATCTGTGTTTGCCCTGGCAAATGAGTTGTCCTCAGACTTCATCAGGCTCACAGACTCATCGATGGGACCAAGCATGCCCAGGGTCATTAGTTGGCAGTTGTGTTCAGATGAAGAGAGCCATTCTGTGATCCCAACTGTCCAGATTTCTGAAGTAGTACTGGGATTAAGAATGACCCATGACCTAGGCAAAGCTAGCAACCAGATTCTTGGCCTCATCCACCATCCTCACCTGTGATTAGGGGAAGAGGAGGAGGCAGCTTCCGGAAGGAAGTATTGATGAAATGCCAGTGGTTGTTTTCATTGCTTCTGGTGAACTTGCCTCAAGTGGCCCTTGGCTTCTGTCCCATGTGACTTAGGATGGTTGAGTGCTCAGTTGCCTTGGATATGTGGGCAAAGGCGACTATTTCTTCCCCATCTCTTTTGCTTCTCCTCCTTTCATTTGAAGCAGTGAATTGTGTGATTTTTTTCATAATACCAAGATTAATACAGCCATGTTTAGTCAATCTTTGTCATCTCCCTTAGGAGCTGACTCTTCAAAAAGGGATGTTCCTGCATTTGTAGGATAATGGTGATGGCTTCACTGTTTGAACCATATCCAACAGCATTGTTCCCTACAAAATGAACTTGAGCTGATGAATAAAAGTTTGGTGTAGTAGCACGGACACTGAGATTAACAATTAATAAATGGAACCTCCTGAAACTGAGAAGCAAAGGACACAGTTGACAAGACAAAAATGGCAGCCCATAGAATGGGAAAACATATTCACCAAACCCACATCCAACAGAGGGCTGATCTCCAAAATTTACAAAAAACTCAAAAAGCTAGTCTCCAAAACACCAAATAATCCAATTAAAAACTGGGGGTACAGAACTAAATAGAGAATTTTCAATTGAGGAGTCTAAAATGGTTGATTGACACAACATCCTTAGCCTTCAGGGAAATGCAAATCAAAACAACTCTAAGATACCATCTTCTCTTGACAGAATGACTAAAATCAAAAACACCAATGAAAGTTTATGCTGGAGAGGATGTAGAGAAAGGGGAACGCTCTTCCACTGCTAGTGGGAGTGCAAACTCGTACAGCCACTTTGGAAATCAGTATAGAGATTCCTCAGGAAAATGGGAATCAGTCTACCACAAGATCTAGCAATTCCACTCTTAGACATATACAACAAGATGTGTATTTATACAACAAGGACATCTTGTTCAATTATGTTCACAGCAGCATTATTTGTAATAGCCAGAAACTGGAAGCATCCTAGATGCCCATCAACTGAAGAAGGGATAGAGAAAATGTGGTACATTTACACAATGGAGCCACTACCTAGCGAGAAAAAAACAATGGAATCTTGAAATTTGCAGGCAAATGGATGGAACTAGAACAAACCATCCTGAGCGAGGTAACCCAGTCACAAAAAGACAAACATGGTATGCACTCACTCATATATGGATTTTAGACATAGAGCAAAGATTTACCAGTTTATAATCCACACCACCAGAGAAACTAGGAAACAAGGAGGAACCTAAGAGAAATATACATGGAAAGGGACAAAATCTCCTAAGTAAATTGGGAGCATGGAAGGAGGGTGAGGGAGCTAGAAGAAAGAGAAGAGGAGAAGAGGAGGGGAGAAGAGGACAATAGGGAGCCTGAAGGTTGAGTCTGGGGAAGGATAGAGGAGAGCAAGATAAGAGATACCATAATAGAGGGAGCCATTATAGGTTTAAAGATAAATTTGGCACTAGAAAAATGTTCAAGATATACAAGGATGACACCAACTAACAATCTAAGCAGTAGTGGAAAGGCTACCTTAAATGCCCTTCCCTGATAATGAGATTGATGACTACCTTATATGCCATCCTAGAGCCTTCATCCAGCAGCTGATGGAAGCAGAAGCAGATACCCACAGCTAAACACTGAACTGAACTCTAGAATCCAGTTGCAGAGAGGGAGGAGTTTTGAGCTAAGGAGACAAGACCAGGCTGGTGAAACCCACAGAAACAGCTGACCTGAACAAGGGGGAGCTCATGGACCCCAGACTGATAACTGGGAAACTAGCATAGGACTGATCCAAACCCCCTGAATGTGGGTGTCAGTGAGGAGGCCCCGGCAATCTATGAGGCCTCTGCTAGTAATCAGTATTTATCCATGGCATGCCAATGTACTTTGGGAGCCCACCCCGCGTAGAGGGATACTCTCTCAGCCTAGACACACTGGGGAGGGCCTAGACCCTGCTCCAAAGGATATGACAGACTTTCAAGATCCCCCATGGAAGGCCTCACCCTCCCTGGAGAGCAGAAAGGGGGTGGGATAGGAAGTTAGTGAGGGACAGGGGAGGAGAGGAGGGAGAGGGGACTGGGATTGACATGTAAAAACAATCTTGTTTCTAATTTAAATAAAAAATAGAAAAACAAAAATAATAAATAATTTTTGATGTATTTGATGAGTCAGAGGTAAGGGGAAAAAAAGTCAGACACAGTGGACATCAGTGATTAGACCCTAATCTCAGAAGAAAGCCCTGGAGCATGGAGTATCCTGCTAGAGATACTGCAGATCTTGCAGACTGTGTAGGTTTTCTGCTAGGAGCAACATCAAAGCCGGCGACTTTAGAGATTAAAGTGTGTTTGACAAGCAGAACTTGCCATTGCCCTGCTACTAACTGCACTTGGCCTGTTGTTCCCAGCCAGAGCTTCACCCAGAGCCGCAGCCCTGCTCTGCCCCTCTAAAACCCTGTGGGTCAGCCTCAGTGCCTCAGCTATCCGCATTGTCCTGCTGCAGAGGGGACAACACCTTCCCACGGCCACTTCCCAGGCCCTCTCTTATTTGTGGAAGAATTTCAGAGTGTTTTGCTGACTCCAAGAAGATCAAACAACAGGAAGACAGGGGTGTTTCCCTCAGCGTGGACAAAGGACTTAGTCTTTTACCTTAGAATTTCTGTTTTCTCTGATGTCTCAGAGAAATATACTCCCATACTTTTGTTGTTTGCCTGTTTCCAACTGTGGTGGGACTGTCTCAGCACACTCATCTGTAAATTGAAAATAAACGACAACAAAGAAAATTGCCTTTCTGATAAATTGTTGTGGAGCAAGATAAGACTATTTTTCAGGAATACCTCCTCCTAGAAAGTAAATTATGATATCATTTTGCTTTTCAGGCTAAAAAACAAAACAAGGGGGGTTTCTAAAGTGAAGGATCCCTGTTTTTCTCCAGGAGACTCTTGGATCCAGCCGTTAGCTACTCCATGGGACAATCAGATACAAGATTGGAAAGGCGAATGTTGTGGAGGGGAAACACCATGGCGTAAAATCTCATTAGTGGAAAGTGCTTTGTGCTGAAAGATAGGTCTTTCTGGTGGAAGGCTGGCAATGGTGAATGGTGGGGGACTCACTAAAATATCTTAAATCGTCTCCCTTAAGCATGTAGCATCCTTAGAGGTCAGACAGAGCCGAAACTTGAACAGCTGTACAACAAGCCTCTAAGATTGTCTTTAATTGTGTCCCCTTTCTCTAACAGCAGTAATTCTTGTTTATATTGTCAAGAACCTTTCCACTGAGCACAAGCACACCATACTTGAAGGTCAAATGCTTAACCCTTCTGCATGGTTACAATGAAAACGGACCCTTTTGTTTTCATTAATGTATACCCCAGCCACGGATACAGGGAGAATGGGGGCCCCAAGCGTTCACCAAGCTGAAGTAACTTATTGTAAAAGACCCACAAAGGGGGCATATTTCTGTTTCCACACAACACTTGTTTAGCCTTTGCCTCCTGCATCCAACCACAAAACAGTAGAATCATTTATCAATGGGCAGAATTTTTGGGTACCATTTTGTTCCTTTGACCTCTGCTACTTTTTACTGACCCAACCAAATTGCTTAAAAATTTTCCCTTTCTGCTGTCAGTGTTTAAAGCCGCTTAATGTCTCTGAAGTGATCGCCTTTCTCCTGAGCTCTTTATACTCCTGTTCACCACAGCACCTGTTACTGTAGTGGACCATGAAATCGCGAATGTCATGCAGCTCTTATTGACTGATAATACTTTATTAAATATAAATAGAGTATCCTCCAGTCTCTGGGCAGATGCCCATGTGCCCACAGAGACCCATGTATTGATTTGTGGAGGCCAACCAGGAAAGGAGTTTGGTGTATTTGTTTGTTTGTCAGGCAAGAGATATTTCTTTTTCTCCTTAAGAGTTAACCAAAACTCAGGGGACCAGTTCAGCAAACATTAAATATGAGCCTCAAACATGAAGGCCTCTTTGTTACTGAAACAAAAATGCCGCAGCAGGTGGTAGACTCGAACACAGGAGGGAGGAGGAGGTTCAGTTGTTGCCCATTTTTCTAATCCTTTCAGAATACCCATTGTCCAGATCGCAAATTGAAACTGTTCCTGCTCAGTCTCATGGAGACCAGTTTAGCATGAAAGGGCTGCGCCCGTTGACGCTTCTACACACTGGTTTCATCTTTGGGTATGAAGTGTATCGCCACCAAACAAGACAGGAGAGGCAATTATCTCCCAAAGATGAGCCAATAACATCTGCTTCTCAAAGCATGAAACTGTTCTGAGTGTGGCGAGTCAGAGTGCGGTGGGAATGCACGCCAGCAGCGTGGTGCTGTCTGCCACTGAGTGCATCGCGGCAGCCGTGTGCCTTTTGTTGTCCTGGGGGCTGTCAAAGCAAGTGTGTGCAAACCCCAGGAGCTCCCTAAAGCTGGGGTTAAACTCTGTGCTGACCTTGTCTGTTTAGCAAGGTGCTGTGTACTAGGGTGTGTAGCTTTTAAAGGGGCTTAACAATCTAGGTTGGAATATTTAAGAGGTTTTTGCTTTTCCTTAAAGTGGATCTCAGGACACCCTCGTTAGGTTGCATTAAAAGATGAGCCAAAGGGCAACGGCAGGCTCCCAGATTAGTTCCTATTGCTGCCTTGATGAAGGCACCCAGGATCCATTCATATGCCGAGCCCCTCTGTGTTCCCAATGAGCCACCCATAATCGTTTCTTTGATTCCAAATCCCAGTTGGGACTGTTGAAGAAAAATGAATGCAGTGTAATGATAGTTTTCTTTTATAAATTTGTGAGGGAGGCGTCTGGAGCTGAAAATCATGTTCCCCAAAACTTCAGACACAAATCCTAATAAGTGACAGATGCTCCACCCCGAGTGCTGTGTGAACACTGGACGCTCTTTCCTGCCAGAAGGAAACTGCATTCTTGCCGCCTCTGCTGCACATTTGGTCCAGTGAGGGCTGTGGCTGGTGATGCTGGTGATGCTAAACTTATGACCAGCATTGCAGCTGCCAAGCAGAAGAGCTTCCCCCACCCCGTGTGTGTGTGTGTGTGTGTGTGTGTGTGTACATATGGTGCTTGGATAGAACCCTAGCTTAGCATGTGTCACGCAAACACCTTACTACTGAGCTACTCCCCAGCGCATCTTCATCTTCGGAGGTGGAGCTTGAGGTAGGATTTCAATATGTAGCCCCAGACTGCCTTAAACTCAAGATTCTCCCACTTCTACCTCCCTAGTGCTGCACCACCATACCCAGCTCCAAACGTGAGGACTTCATAGCCTTTCAGATAACAGCAGTTAGTCTTTCCAATGATACGTGCATCTCTTTCATGTATGGCGTTTAAAAATGGGAGAAAAGATGAAAAACCCACAAATTATTCTTAACACTTTTAGCCTTTCAAGTAACAATGTAGAGTAGTTGTTTCCAGACCTGAGTCTCTTCCCTTTCTCCGTTAAGAAGTGGTGTTGGTGGTGGTCACTTTTAACCCAGTGTGGCACAGCGTGGGATCTCCTGGGAAGAGGCTCCCAGTGAGGATTGCCTTGGTCAGGTTGCGTGTGGACATGCCTGTGATGGAGTTTTCCTAACTGGGTTAACTGAAGAACCCACCCTGAGTGTGGGCAGCACCGTTTCAAGTGCAGGACCCTGAACTAAGTGACAAAAGTGACCTCAGTCATTTCTGCTCTTACTGAATGTGACCAGCTACTGCAAGTTCCTGCCTGCACTACTGTACTGTAGCCTGGGATTGTGAGCCACATAACCCTGCCTCCTCTAAGTTGCATTCTTCAGGGTGATTTCTTGCAACAAAAGGAAAGGGAACTAGATCTGTGTGCAAGTAAGACTCCCGGAAGTCAGGAAGAGAGCCCCTGCTCCCACTGGCACAGGCTGTCACTGAGACTAGGCACTTACTGAAGCCTGGCATCATTCCACATGGTCTTCCTTACCATTCCCACTCCCCCTCTGGCTCCTGAGCCAGTGTCAACGCCCTGAACCTGGGTGTCACCATGTGCAGAATAAGTTTGCTCATGCTACTGACCTACACAATAGTTGGGAGGGTTTAATGGGCTGCCATGTCATGCATCAGACCTGCCAAGCTGTGTAATTTGATCTGTTATATAATGCTTTTGTTTTATTGCCACTTATTATTATTGATAGTTATGAGCAGTATGAGCATGTGGGTGTCAGAAGACCCCTTTGTGGAGTATGTTCCTTCCTTCCACTTTTATATGGGTCTGGGGATGGAACTTTCCAATTCAGATCTGTAAGCCTGTGCATCATAGGCCTTCACTTGCTAAACCATGTCCCGTGTCTTGGTTTCTTATCTTTAAATTGTGGTGATGATTAAAATAAAACCATTTTACTGAATCGTTTCACCGAATTGTCCTAGGAATTTAAATTGGGAATGTATGAGAAATGATCAGGACAGGATATGGCAGTTGGTGACTGTTCAATAACTGATAGTTACTGTTATCAACCCTTTCTGATAAGACTTGCATAGCAATTGTATGACATGATTGTTCTTTTCATGCCTACTAGTAACACTTTAATAAGTAAAATCTACATAAAGTGCCCATTGACAGGTACTGAAGCCCTGCTAAAGATTTCTATCACACGGCTAACTGGGTATATGGTACATATCTACACTCAGCACTGGGATACAAAAGAGTTCTATCACAGAACTGTGTGAGAGTGTGCATGCCTGTCCGTCTCTGTGCACCCTCCATTCAGGGCGTCCATGTGAGGCACCTCCAGGTCTCCATAAATGGTGCTGCTCACAGATGGGGGCTGCATTTGATTGAGTGGATCTTTTCCAAGGACAGATATGGCAACTGCTCATGGCACTGTCCCTAGATTGTCTGGAGTTTTAAAAATCACATTGTCAATACCCATTTCATTATAGTGGGCCAGAGTTTTCACTTTGGGAATCTTAAGAAAAATAAGGTGGCTAGATTTTTGTGATAATGTGTAAGTCATGGCTTTGTTCTTACAGGTGTGTGTTTTAGTTTTTCTTGTCATGATCAAGTAAGAAGACTAGTTAGTGCTTAGCTGGTTAGTGTCGTATGACGCTGCTGACATTGTGATAGTCAGCGAAGAGGACATTCTAATAGAGCAGAATCATACTTCAGGAATCAGAATCTGTCCTAAAAGCTTAATTAAGCACCTTCTGTCACCCTCACTCACCCTCCACCCTGTCTGTGTAGCTATTCTCTACTAAACCAGAAGCTCCTGGTGCCTAAGTATTCTGACCTTTGGGTAACCACTGAGGGGCGAGACTCAGCTATCATTCCTCACACAGGAGGTTCCTTTGTTCTCTGTTCTGTGTGCCTACTATAAAGTGTTCTGAGCCTGGCTTTATACATCTGACTGCTTTGTACACTTGCACAATTAAGATAATACAAGAAAGCAACTTGCAGTATACAAGTAAGTAGAGGCCTGTGGTGGCCTCTGGCCTCTTGAGTTAGATGTGGCTCTGCTGCTTACCTGTAAAAGGAACTTGACAAATTACAAACCTTTCTGAGCCTCCGTTTCTTTCATCAGTAAACGAAAGCACTGTAATTTCCTTCCTCTTAGACTTACTAGGATTCAGAGGTGCAGGGCGCACGAGCAGTGTCTGGCATGCTGGGCGATGTGCCTCTTGTGTCGTCATCACTGTCACTACTTAGATAGCACTAAGCATCACTGGATACGGATTATCTAAGAGATATGCACTGTGAATACTGAGAAAGAGGCCCAGGAAACAGCATAAGGGGTGGTTTCGTCTTCACTTCTGACTTGACTGGATTTGGAATCACCTAGGA